TCTTGCTTTCTTTTTCTCTTGCTGATGTCATTTTATTTTTTCCCCTCCGTGTTCTGTTTTATTAAGTAAACTAAGCAAAAAAATTAGGAAGCCTTTGTTGGTTCATCTTTTTTCAGGCTGGGGAAAGGGGAAGTGATTTTGATTTGTTTAACCAAATTAAAACGGACACGTTTTAATATTTAAAACAAAGACACTGGTTGAATAAAGCAGGTAACATCTGCAGTATTTGGGGTTGGATCATGGTGGCAAGAAGACATGGAGACAATTCCACCCTCCGGTGCCATCTTCAGCCCGGAGGCTTCCTTTGGAGCCACCTCTGCAGCTTCGGAGGCTCTTCTCAGAACAGGATGAGGGGTGATGATGCCCCCCTCCCCATCTTGGGAGGCAGGTGGGCCCCAATCCGGGCGCAGGCGTGACCTAGACCTGCAAGGGAGCCGCCTTGGGGTGGGGGCTGCATCTGCAGGAGATTAGGGCAGGAGGAGGGGGACCTGCAGGGCCGCTGAAGGGTCTGTTTCCAAGAAGCCGAAGCCGCCCTGGATGGACGGGGACACAGCGGTGAGCCTGCAATCTGGTCTGGTTTAAAGCCGGTCCTAATCTGGGGCTGCTGGGCTCAATGGGAGCCATTGTCTTGCATGATCCAGTTATTTGCCCCCAAGAAAGAATCTCCCCGCCCACCTTTCACCCTGTAACCCCCTGATGCCTCTGTGCTGCTGGGCCACAGTCAGAGCAGGGCTGCAGTTGCACAATGAAAGCTCCAGGGGGAGCAGTTCATCAATCAGAAGAGAGCTGGAAGGGACCTTGGAGGTCTTCTAGTCCAACCCCCTGCTCAAGCAGGAGGCCCTATAGTTCCGTTTCAGACAAGTGGCTGCCCATGTCTCTTCTTGAAATCCTCCAGTGTTGGAGCACCCACAACTCCTCTTCCAATGGTCCAGTGTTCTCCCCATTAGGAAGATTCTTCTTCCTTCCAGATTGCTTCTCTCCTTGATTAGTTTCCATCCATCGTTTCCTGCCCTCTGGTGCTTTGGAGAATGAACTGACTCCCCCCCCCGCCTGTCTGCACATCATCAAGATGAAGAGTGAGAGGAGGAATTCTGGGAGTTGAAGTCCACAACCCCGAGGAGGGGGAAAGGCTTTCCCCGCGCATGCGCCTTCCCCCCCTTTTCTCTGCCCCCCCCCCCCCCACCCGGTCTTTGTGGCAACCCATCAAATCCTGGCATGTTGCTATCATGTCACCCTTAACCGTTTTCCCCCCTCTAGACTGGCCTGCAGCCGTTCTTCATGTGTCTTCATCATCTCTGGGCCTTCAATCCTCTCAGCTGCTCTTCTCTGCACTTTCCCCCAAAGTCCCAACCTCTTTTTTGCCATGTGGGGGCCACAACCGGATGCGGTACTCCAGGGGTGGCCTTACTAAGGCTTTATAAAGCGGTAGTAAGGCTTCGCGTGGTTTTGATTCTATGCCTCTGTTTAATACGACCAAGGATCGTATTAGCTTTTTTACCAGCGTACAAAGAGGCCCTTGAAAAGGGGGGTCTCATCAGATGCCCCCCCCCTCCCTTCAAGTTCTCTGCAGATCTCCAAGCATCTCCCTGGGCAAGGAGCAGGCTGGCTGAGCCAGAGAATAGCAGCAGCATTCCCCGGTCACTGAAGAAACCCTTCGCCCTGCAGGAGACGCCTCCCCCAAGACTTCCCCGGCCAGGATCCCACCTGA